TGAACGGTTTTGTCATGTCTTCTACTTTATAAATGTGATGCATCAAACCCGCTTTATTTGATTTACCATCATCAAATCTAAAAGTGTGAAAACAAAGGATGTAGAAATACTTCATGGTACAATCCGTTATCTTAAACTTGTAATTGATTGTTTTTTTTTTATCTTTTATATGTAGTATTCACGACTTGTATAACAAATTAAGTCGTGAAACTCCTCCCGACAACTTTGAACAAGCGTGGCTGAATCCGTTATATTATACTTGTAATTGATTGTTTTCTCATCAAGCAGAAATACACGTATGGGTATTGTCATTTATATGTAGCATTCTCGAATTGTATAATAAATTAAGACGTTAAACTCCTCCCGACAACTTTGCACAAGCGTGGTACAATCTGTTATCTTATACTTGTAATTGATTGTTTTCTTATCAAGCAGAAATACTCGTATGGGTATTGTCATTTATATGTAGTATTCTCGACTTGTATAACAAATTAAGTCGTGAAACTCCTCCCGACATCTTTACACAAGCGTGGGATAGTTTTCACAGTCGTGAGTCTGTTTTGAATACACCAGAAGTTCTGCAGATAGCATTACTTTGGGCATCCTCGTATAAAATGTGGATTATGCGAACGAGATCACACTATAGATTTTGAAGTTTCCAATCCAGGAGAAACCTGATGATATATCTTGAAAAAACAAATTAAGGTTGCAGACTCATTTTATCAATCATCTATTCGATGGGAAAAAAAGTTATATTGCTGTCTGGTGGTGCATTAAGTGCATCAATAAACTGTTAACACATAGATATGTCTCGCCTTTTTGTAATTTTGATGATGCAAATGTTGAAATTAAAATAGCAATACTTTAACATGTAAGTTATACAAATATTCAAAAACAATGAACCATGACTGAAGGTACATGGCTAAACAATCTCCATGGAAATGAGATGTGCCAATGCTAATACAAGTGCATACCAAATACCACTGACTTATCACAAATCGTTCCCTTTAAACAAACATAAACAGAACATTAACTTGTAAACTATGTAAAAGTTTCAAAGTCAATGAACCATGATAAGGGGGTGGTACTATATAATCTTAATGGAAACGAGACTTGCAAATGCCAATAAATTTGCATACCAAATATCATTGACTTAACATTAGCGATTCATCTTAAACTGATCTAATCACAAACTAATATATGTAAACTAAGCAAAAGTTTCAAAGTCAATAGACCATGACTGAGGGGACAGGGCCAAGTATTTTCCATGGAAATGAGATGTGCTAATGCTTATACAACTTCATACCAATTAACATTGGCTTACCACTAATGGTCCCCCTTGAACTGACCTATAAACAAACTAATACATATAAACTAAGCAAAAGTTTCAAAATCAACATACATTGATTGAGGGGGCCGAGCCAAGTAATCTCCATGGAAATGAGATGTCAAAGCTTATACAACTGCATACCAATTATCATTGACCTACCACTAGTAGGTCCCTATAAACTGACCTAATCACAATCTAATACATGAAAACTAAGCAAAAGTTTCAAAGTCAATAGACCATGACTGATGGGACGGGGCCAAATAATCTCTATGGAAATGAGATATGCCAATGCTTATACAACTGCATACTAAATATCATTAACTTACCACTAGTATTTCCCCATAAACTAACCTAATCACAAACTAATACATGTAAACTAAGCAAAGTTTCAAAGACATTGCACCATAACTGAGAGGGCGGAACAAACTAATCTCCATGGTTATGAGATGTGCTTATGCTAATACAACTGCATGCCAAATATCATTGACCTACCATTAGTGGTTCACCATAAACTAGACCGTACGTTGACCTATTATGGTTTATTTTTACAAATTGTGACTTGGATTAAGAGTTGTCTCATTGGCACTCATACCACATCTTCTTATATCTAATCACAAACTAATACATTGTTGACGGCGCCGACGCCAGAAACACATTACCTATGTCTCGCTTTTCGACTCCGTCAAGGCGAGACAAAAATGATGCCCCATCATATCTTACTAGCAAGTTTCATTATGTTTGACAAAAATCCATACCCATTGAGAAATGCTATTCAAGGAAATTTCATACTCCCTAAACCAAAAATCGAATCGTTCAAAAAATCTTTTATGTATTCTGGACCATCCTTGTGGAACGATTTGCCAATATCATTACGAAATATTACAAATGTTTATTCTTCCAAATACAAATTAACAAATCATTTATTGAAATCTACCAATTGAAAAAATATAAAATAGCAATTATTTTTTCACACCAATTTATGCAGTTGTATTGAACGTTGATCATTATACTTGAGATCATTATACTTGACTTATATATAGTCACATATATAAGAAGATGTGGTATGAGTGCCAATGAGACAACTCTCCATCCAAGTCACAATTTGTAAAAGTAATTTAAAATCATTATAGGTCAAAGTACGGCCCTCAACACAGAGCCTTGGCTCACACCGAACAGCAAGCTATAAAGGGCCCCCAAAATGACTAGTGTAAAATCGTTCAAACAGGAAAACCAACGGTCTAATCTATTTAAAAAACGAGAAACGAGAAACACTTATGAACCACATCAACAAACGACAACCACTGAACATCAGGTTCCTGACTTAGGACAGGTGCAAACAAATGCAGCGGGTTTTAAACATTTTAATAGGCGCCAACCTTCACACTACCTGAAACAATAGTGTAGCATCACAACATAGAAAGACACACTATAAAATATCAATTGAAATGACTTAAGTCAAAAGACATATTAACAAAAACAAGTGAACATACACTGAACGAATAAATTTGATTTATGACACAATGTAAATACAAAATTAATAAAACAAGGGGGTTAGATGTAAAACAATATCAGAAAGACATCTATAACCTTGGACAAAATGCCGCCAAATAAAATAACGTACACAGGTAAATAAAAATAATTTTGTTGTAAGGTATACATGAAGTACGGAAATAATTTTTAAAAAATAAATAATTTTGTTGTTCCTAGTACGAGAACAAAAGTGAAAATTTATCGTCATACTAAACACTTATCAAAGGTGGTATATATTAAAAATAGTGAGACTAGATATAACACTAAATAAGTAAACATTAAATAACATAAATACATTACAAATTGTATCAACAGGTCAAATTAACACGAAAGTACGATTTGAGAGTACTCGCAGTTACTGAAAGCTGGTTAAAAGCCAAAAACAATTAATAATAAAAAATCATGCATCAGAGACTAAATCAACTAAAACACATCCCAGGGATGTAGTGTTTTAACGTCATGGGCAGTCAAAGATGACATGACTTGTGCGATGCCAAAATAAAAGTATCGACAGGCAGTAGGATAGTTTTGAGTTAACCTGTTAATAAATATGTATAATGTAATATATATAGAGAGTAATCTCTATATAAAAAATGAACGTGGATGTGTATTTATACATCTCAAAAAACCGTTTGAAAAGAATATAAATTTAGTGATGTATGTCATGTGTATCACTGTTTGCATTGTGCTTTTTCAAGATTTTTTGTTTATGCTTTTCGATGATGACGGCCTCATGGAAGATTACATGTAGTTATATAGCTAACTGTGTAACCCTCTTAAAATAAAGTATTGCTGTTGTTGTTGTTGGATGTTTAGCAGTATAGTTCAAGAAATTTTTATCAAGTTTCCAGCAGGGTATGCATTATTTCTAGTTATTCAAAATGTTGAAACCTAATTTTAAGTTATGAATAGCTGGATTAAGGATATGGTTCTAAGTACGCAGTTAACGTTAGTGGTATTATTGCTGAGGAAATATTTCATTTCCACATATAAATTAACAGATCAAATCTAATTATGCAAAACGTAAACTTTGACGCAATTAATTTCAGTTTTAATCCCTGAAGTATCACACAAATTACAGAAATATTTTCGGTCAGTGATTTGGATGCTTTTATGATTTTTTTAAGACGAAGATATGTCTTGGTGAAATAATACTAAACTGGTTAGAGAGGGGGATTTTTTATCTTGTAGTGAGGATGAACCTTTGTTTAGTGTTGAGGTCTAGCTGTGACATAAATAATACAAGAATATCGCAAATTATCAGCTCGAAATAACATATGATAACAAACTGATTTTTATTTCACAAGAGAAATTTTACCGTTGCACAAATTTACAATCTATAAACGAAGTTCTGATGACATTTACCTTCAATAAATGAACTACCCTTTCCAGGAACTGGTAAATTAATATTGCAAAAGTTGTAATTTTTTGGTCTGTTACCTCGCTTTGAAACTGTTTGACTTGTGCATATTTGGAGAGTTTGTACTGAAAAACGATCGTATAATGAACCAACTAAACTGTATATCAATTTATAAAAACAAAATTAATAAGTAATCAAACGTTTCTTTTAAGAAATTTTGGCGCCCTTGTACATTCTCAATGAATGTTAACTCATGACAGCTGAACAAAAAATGAACTGATAGGGTATGCATGAATCCCCCTTACATCTTCTAATTGATAGAATAAATACATAATATATTTTTTTATGGAAGATCTTATTCTAATCATGAATGTTTACATTGGAATATGTACACATGATGTATGTAAGAGCCAAGTCATTTATAAATTTGTATTTCATGATTAAAGTAAATATTCCAAAATGCATATGAAAGGGACAATGATAATAGTATAATCAACTGACCCATGACCCAATCAATCAGAGCTTTTGGGCTCAAATGGATCAATTATATACATATACAATAATTAATATAAAAAACACAATTAAATTAATAGTTTAAGAAGAAAATAAACTGAAACACTCTTTTAACTAAGATTTAGCTAATATAATTTATTACAGTATTTGACATTTTTGTACTTATGAAAACCATTGGCTATTAAAAACATTACCGGTTATGATGTAATGAGAGTCACATAAACAAGTTTATACCATTGTATACTTAAGTCATCTTTCTATTTTCAGTTACCTCAGTTGTATCCAGTATACTCTCCTTAACCTTGGTGGCCTATGATAGATTCTTTGGAATAGTTTATGCCATGAAAGCACATATCATTGAACGAAGTGCGAAATATTCACTTATAGTGATTTGGGTGTTTTCAATAACAGTAGCTTTACCAATGGTGCTGTTTAGACGGCTATATGAAAGACATTGGAAAAATCACGTGGAGTTATGGTGCGATGACGATTGGTCACTAGGTGCTCTACAGGGTACATCAGAACCCACCGAAGCCTTTCACAGACCAGCAAGAATGACTTATTATACTATTATCTGCCTCATATTATTTATATTTCCGATCGTGGCTATGATTGGTGCTTATTGTGGCATCATTAGAACATTATGGCTCAATAAAATACCAGGAGAGAGGTTAACACACGACGTTAGTGGACAAATGAAAATGAAACGGAAGGTATATATAAAAGTGTGTTTTCAAAGTATTATATAAATGGAATTCTTTAAGCTAAATGGTAACTTTTTATGAATATGGGATCGTTACGTAAAACCATCTAAGAAATTCTAGTTTTCAGTGAGCTTGTCATTCATTGATCACATCATTATACTCTCTTTTGTAAATGACTTGAAGTGAACCGTTTTGGTTTTTTTTTATGAAAACGAATCGACCTTACTATGTTTATTTTGAATTTATACGACCATTTGTTTTTTTACAGGTTGTGATAATGTTAATCCTTATACTGACAGTATTTTCTGTTTGTTGGTTTCCTCTTCAAATATCTATACTTTACTCAGAGTACAGATCGGATCCAAAAATGGTAAATACAACACACTATGAAATAACTATATACAACTTAGGATTGTCGTACTCTTTCCAGTGATGTTGTTATTTCTTCGTCTCTCTTTTTTTAAAATATCTTCACATATATTATGTGTAGTGAAATAGAATTCTAACAAACAAAAAACAAACAAAAAAAACAAAAAAAAACAACATCGAAGATATGACATGCCTGAGACAACCAGTGGCGAGGTTTAATACTATGACAGGCATAAGAATTTCAAGAAACTTTTTTCGGGAATCATGAATTTTACTCTTCAATTATAATCTGAAGCAGGTTATTTCCTTTCATGGCAATAGACCTGCTTCGCGGCAATGAAGAGTCAACGATAAGCATGTTTTTTTTTTATCTCTGATAATTGAAAGATAATATGTATAATAAATTTATAAATTAGATATTATTAATTCTCAGACTCGATTATATAGCAGGAAATGTTTGTATATCGAAATTGCAAATATTTTGAAATTTATGAATGAGTAGTTATAATAGTTTAAGATGGGCCAAAAACTACCAAAAATGATATTTACACTGTCTCATAAGTCGAGAACACACTTACAACGTCATGGCAAAAAACAAAACGCGACGAAAAGACTAACAACTGACTACAAAACACACGTAAAACATAGAAGACGAACCATACCAAAAATCGGGGTGAACTCTGGGGCTCCTAATAAGTAAGCAGATCCTGTTACACATGTTGCACCCGTCGTGTTGCTCATGTACGGTGATAGGTCTCATTGAGTGATGTCGAGTTAAAGGTTACGGAATTGTAGTAACCACAATTGGAACATAACCGTCGTCATCTGTGAAACAGAGATAGTATTACGTTTTTTACGGTAATTTACCACTTTGAACCCTTGGTGCAATAGCTTTATTGTACGCAGCATATATACTCAATATACAAGCGTTGTTGGAATGTAGAAAGTTCACAAGCAGAAATTATCACTTTTGTCGTAAAGTTTTGTTTTCAACTTACCCTCATTGTCAATTTCTAGATGTACGTCAAGATATTATCAGTCAGACTTAAATGTATCTGTGGTATCTTTATTTCAAGTTCGATGTAGTAGATGCGTTAAACATAGTCGCCAACCTTTTTGAAGTGAGAGGACGTCATCTATATAGCGGAACGTGAAGTGAAATGATTATGATAGCCTCTTTTAATTCTTTCTAAGAAACTCTTTACGGTTTGAAGTCTGTCTCATATAAATAAAGGAAAAAGTTGACAATAAGAGGAGCACAGTTAGTTCCCATATATATCCAGAATGTTGAAAACATGTCCTCAAAACGTAACAAATATTGTCAATCAAAAGATTCAGAGCAATTTTTGTTTGAAACAGAGTTGTGTTTTACCAAGTATGATCTATCCTTGAGCTCTCACCAAAATAAAATGTAAGTAAAAACAAAGGATATAAGTCGTATTTAATTGTAATTTTAAAGTGATCATTCCGTCCTAGACTCTTGTTGCTGTACTTCGTTTACACTGTACATTACTATTTATGGAATACAAATTTTTCTCGTATTTCGTGGGTTTACTTTTTCCTTTATTTATTTGAGAAACCGTAAAGAGCTTCTAAGTTTTTCTTAATATTGGTTAAACATTATTTTTTCTGCACCAGGAAAAACGAATTATATTGTACAACGAATTTTGGCATATCCACGAAATCGAATATAAACGAAAATCAAGTTTTCCTCAATCCACGAAAATTGGCACCCACAATAAAAAAAAATGAATTAACAGCATCATGAACAGTAAACGTCTGCTACGTTGGAATACTTTTTGCGGACACCAATAAGTTTGTGCAATAAAACCCGCATACTTATCATGTTATTAAAAACCCGTACCTACAAAAAAAGAAATATAACATGGTTTGACCATTTTTTGTTTGTTTATCTATTTCAGATGGGGGAATGGTACGATACTTTCTATTTCCTTGCCAGAACACTGGCTTTCTCAAACAGTGCTATCAATCCAATTATTTATGCAGGTTTTAATGAGAATTTTAGAAAAGGTTAGTAAAGTTATTTCAGTTTTTCATTAGTTTTAATTTTGTTTTCATTTACTAAAAATGAAAATAAGTATGTACTAGCGCAATATTCATTCTGCAGACAACAGATGTATATGGATTTTAAGTTGTAAGAAGATTTATCGGGATCATAAATTTAGGCTAAGATTAAATGTTGATTGTCTTTAAAACTATTATCATTTCACCGCGTCTCGTCACACTGATATCAACGGTGCATTTTGTTTAGCCGTGGTACTTTGCAACAAAAGATACTATTTTCGTTGAATAACAATTTTATATATTAGTCTGTTGCGGTTATATTTCACAAATAATGATGTTAAGCACGAGAGCATTTTAATAGAAATCAAAAATGACGTTCTCTTGGGAAATTATCTAACATTTCTTTGACAAGGCAGTATCTATCTTTAGTTTTTAAAATTGATGAGTCTTACATTTATATAAATGGAACGTATATACTATTTGTAATCCTTTTGAAATACGTCCGGGTTTTATCCGCAATCATTATGACTATGTTATCTGTTCATAAGAATTCATGTGTATCTTCTAAATAAATAAACATGACTTTTTATATTTAGCATAACTTATTATAAATACAATGATTTTCATTTTCGAAAGAGAGACATCAATTGTACTAACGCATTATCCATGTTTCTGAAACTAGAAATGTTTGCATTTGAATCGATAAAATATTTATTGCACAAATAAACCCGGGCTGAGGTTTACATTTTGATTGTCCCTAATCTACAAATGTATTATTACTCGACAGTCTCGTCACACTGATATTAATGGTGCATTTCATTTTAGCCCAGAATTCATATTGCTGTTGCTACTTTTTCAACCTGTCACTTTAATATTAGATATATTTATCAATAAAAATCAGTAATTCAAATTTTGGTATGCCGGACGCGCGTTTCGTCTTCATAGACTTATCAGTGGCGCTCAATTCAAAATAGTTAATAGGCCAAATTAAAACGCCAGTAAGTGAGAATTTTATTGACGATGCCAATGATTCCAAAATGTCATGGACTTGCAAATTTTTGACAATTATGTATATTAGTTTTGTGAGACGAATCACAACGACGTTTTCTCACGTTTCAAGAACCATTAGATTTGACCCCGTCAATTTGTTTTTATGCATTCTTCCATTATAAGCATTATCTACATAGACTTGTTCTTTAGTTACAACACTCAATTTATAAGCGGGTTTTCTTACGGATATAAATCAACGGTAGTACGGCGGGTGGTTCAAGCTGCATTCGTGCAATTACTTGAGAAACATTTTATCAACGATTTGCATATTCTAATATGTTGTTACTGATGAGAAAATGGAGGTCAGATTCATAATTGACCATTTTCACCTTTTCATTTCTGTTTTTTTTTTTACTTGATTGAAAGGGAAATGGAAGTACAATGTAGATGTCGATTCCGTGCGATAAATGCAATCATCACCTAATGTTAATATGTTACTTCTCATGACAAAATGGAAGTCGAGATTAGTTTTCATATATTTACATTAGACGTTCGTGAATTATAGCCCTTGATTAATTTAAAAATGACATTAATAAATGTAAGTAAAGTTCGGTTTGCTGTCATTTTGACAGCCCTTTGTATTTTTCCTGATATGATTGCGTTAACCTGTCGAATATATCAAAGCAAAAACTGTCTGCAATGTCGGAAATTACCTTCGCTCATGTTTCGAATGAGGAGAGGCTAATGTTAACAATGCACAATAACAAGACAGTTGAAGTCTTTATTTCGATACCATACTGATCTTATTTATAAAGGGAAAATGATATCTACATTTACAATGCAAGTTCCATGTGATTTTGTTGTTCTGTAATTTCTGTTCTGCATTATCCAGTGCGTACGGGAGCAACCTTTTGACGTTTATATACTATATCATGTTCTGAAACAAATTATACGAAAATATTCGATTGGTTCTCATCTTTTTACTTTTTTTCTTTGCAATAACACAATGACTTATAAAAAAAAGTTTACCCTCCAAAAAGTAATTACAAATTATTAACGAAGAAAGTTTCAGCGTCCTCCATTTTTGCAACTGTAATAATAGTGTTATGAAAGTGTCAGGTTTAATTCTCTTCCTAAAAAAATGTTAACTTTGTAATGACGACTATGCCTTCAATGCCATAAATTCCTTAGGAAAATTTCACCGATGCAATATTTTTGTAACATTTTTACAGTATCTTATCATTAATTTTCTTTGTAAGGAATGCATCTTCGTGATGCATTGTTTGGGTTCCTTGTCTTGGTATGCATATGGCAAAATGTAGGGTATTTGCTAATTTGCATAGCAACCATATTGCCTTATCATGATGACAGCCATTACAATAGGATTATACATGCCCCTAAAATAAAAATTCACAATGCCAATTTCTAAGTCGAATCACCAATTTGTCCGCATATAGGTGAATTGTACATATTATTTGCCTTCTGTTCATTTACGAATGAACATTTTCTACTTTGCTAACTTTCGGCCTTTTCAGTTTGAAAATTAAAATCGTAACCGTAGTACAATATTCAAAATAAAAATAAAGACACAAGTATAGATTATTCATGATTTGTTCGCATATAAGGACACATCTTGCAGGTTGAATTTTCAGGTAAAAAAAAATCTTAACTGCTTTCTTAAGTCTTCGGCCAAATTCTTTTAAAAACATGACGATTTTATTCTTCCCATTTCGTAAATAGTCAAACTTTAAGTTTTTTTCCTTAGAATTTCACAACATATTTGTAAATATCCGCCAAAGGAAGTTTTCAAAGACACGTTAGTTTTGGATCCAAGACGGAAAAAGGCTGAATTATCCGCAAATTTATTATAATATAATTTATATTTTTAATCTACACCTAAGCGAAGTAATTTAATCAAAAGGACCAAAGTCACGTGGTGCAATCATGTGAATAAAGTACCTTATATGATTTGGCTATTATTTTAAAGTTTATTTTGGTCAAATATTTATGATTCTGTTCTTATACATCCTTTGCGTTTAGTTTTGCTGATGAAGGTACACCCAAAAGCGCTTCGGACGCATGAAATGTTTTTGTTTTCATTTTTTAACAAATAGTAATTGTCAAAATGCTCATCTTGTGCAGTTGGAACTTTTATGTTATTAAAGTGTACCTTGCAAAAGGAGTAGGTTCGATAAGGCCTTATAATGGCCCCGATTTCTAACCAGGCTTAATTTTATATGAGAATTTATTGAACAATATCATAATGAATCATAGCCAATACAATGACTGGATAAGAAATATGTCTTTTTGTTGAAAATTAACGTACTTGCATTCTATTCATGACGTCATGAATAGCACTCACTTTGATTTTCCACGAAAATTCAATGAAAACGGGTACATTTCCATTGATTTTTTTGGACAGGAAACTTAGAGCGCATGTGTCGACAAAAAGATCTTTTCACATAATGTTTGTTATAACATTTTACGTATCTGACTTAAATACTTAACTTGTCGATGACTGCGCTCTATATTTCTTAGTCTTTAATTTGGTTGAAATCCGGGAAATTTTTTTCAAAATTCGCAAAAGTCCTTACTTTTTGCCCTATTTTGGATGTAAAACTCTTTAAAATAGAATTTTGACAAAGTTCTATTTAACTTTCTTGCAGGTCTTTTCATCAGCTTAGAACATTGTTTGTCTTGAAACTTTGAATACCATTATCGGGGCCAGATATTCCCTTATCGAACTTATTCCTTTGTTGTTAATTATCTCATCATAGATATCGGGTTTAAACTTTTGTACTCCAGACGCGCGTTTCGTCTGTATACTGTAAACCAACTTATTTTCGCGGATACTTTTTTCGCGTTTAGCCCTTTCTAGTCCACTTCAAAAAGATGTATTTTCGCGATTTTCGAATATGTTTGATGTAGTTAAATAGGGAAGATCCAAGTTGTACGTATTCGAGGCGATTTATATTCGCGTTATTTTTCTTCTCGCGAAAGTCGCGAAAATAAATCGCTCTCGAAAGTTAGTTGGTTTACAGTATTCACTTTAAGTTTGGTCAATATTTGAATATCGTTTTAATTAGAGCAATGTTTTAACTTCTCTATTTATCTGCTTATCATGAATGTGGATTAAAGAAGATTTGTTGTACACTATTTTAATCATACATTGTATGACATGAAAAGAAATTTCATTTACACTGTCCAAAAAAAAAAGACGCGACGAAGAGATGAAATTTTATTTCATCATGTTTATATTGCTGAATTCCCCCCCCCCCCCTTTGTTGCTCCGTACCTTGATATAGTATTATATTTAACAACAAGAACATATTCTTAACATACTCAACTGCTGTCTACGAACAATATTGATATGCACTATTGTAACAAGAGGTAATCAGTATGATCGAATCAAAACGATATAATTTTTGACGAGGGAATTCTGCGCTGATAGAAAGATTATCAATCTCTGTTTTGTAGCACTTATTGGATATATAAGGCACGCAATATTATAACAACATCTGTTACTGAGTTGCCAATTGTTTATTTAGATTTCATGGTTAGTATTCTCTATTGTCATATATTCTGTATTTTTATTGTGGAGTATCTGGAATCTATTGCATAAGCTTCACCATATGGTTATAGGTTAATGTCTTAGGTTTATTAGAAGTGTCTCAGTGGCAGCGCTCCTTTAAGAAAATCAAAAACTCTAATTAATATGAATCCAACGAGATATATTTAGATATTTGGTGTACGTCAGTGAAAGGCACAGCCTAAGACACACACAAAAAAAGTCAAATAAAAGATACAAATGTATCTAAAGGTTATAGTTAAATTTAGTCTACAAATTTATTGATATATATTTTATTTTATAAAACCATTTATACATGAGGCTCATTTTTGAGTCTTTACTAACCCAAAATCATCTAAATGTGAACTAGAGAAAAAGTATATATGCATAAATGTAGAAAATGCTGTTCCATCAGCTGTAACCAAAGTGGTTGATTGGGGTATATTAA